GGCTGCACTGTAGTGCATAGGCATCGTCGCTTCTTTGGGGATCTGGCTCCGATCTGCCCAGTCGCCAAGCGAACATAACTCCAGGGGCGTCAGCTTCATCAGTGATCCCACTGTGGGGCCAGCTCGCCTCCAAGAGTAAGACGACAAGTCGTCTGTGTTCTGGACCAAGTGCTCGAAGACCTCACGGTTCAAGTCATTGACATACTTCAAGGTAAATGCGGTACCCTCCGCATCGAAACAGAGTCCTGAGGTAGCCTGCTTGGTCTTGTCCAGCTTGCTATAGTCCCGAAATAGGGCGGCTCCCCAAGCCCATCCATTCACGAATGTTGCGGGGATGCAGAAGGAGAATCCACCCCGATTGGCCCGCTGCTTGCCCTTCGGGCAAAACCCATGGAACGAAGATGGTGTCACCTTCACCGGCCTGGCCCTCATGATGTGCTTGCAACGCAAGACACCAAAGGTTACCAGCCATGATGAAAGTAACCCTCGCCAACGTGGGTCCTCTGCCTCATACATAGCCTGTATGCGCTCTTCCAGGGCAGCGATCATCGGCGGTTCAACTGCGACTGCCTGCTCAGGATTTGCCTTCTTGGGTGGATTCTTCCTTGAGGGCACTGGCACATCACTGAAGTCCCACTGCAAACGACCATGTTTCGAAAACCATTTCAAAGAATGAAAAGCCCTGTAGGGTCCATTTGTGCCGCTTTGCAGAAAGCCATAAAGATCCAAAGTGTCAGGCGGAAACAAACGATCCTTCTGTTCCATGTATGCCCTCAATTCTGCCCAGGACTTGAGGGCATTCACAATTGTGGCGCCCTCGGCCTCCGTGACCTTCTTCTTGGCCAGGGTATCCAAGGCATCCTGCCATTGTGAATACCTCTCAGGGGTCAGCTCCCCTTGAGGGCGCATCACCTTAGCCTGGGAGAATGCCTTCCGCAAAGCCTCGGCTCTCAGCAGCACTTGTTCTGGTTGATCGGGGCCTGGACGGATGCGAAGTGCCTGGATCATCCTGCTCTTCTTCAACATCGAAGCCTTGGGAGCCGGCCAACTTGCTGGCCTATCCCGCGATCCAGAACTCTCTGCCACTGCTGCCGCCTGCGGAATGAGGTCATCTTCAATGATATTGGAACGCGCCTGCAGCCACGCATCGGCAACATGGTGTCCTCCATGTGCCACTGCGCTGTCGTATGATGCGAAGGCATAGGCGAAGTCCGTGTTGTCGTGCAATCCCCATTGAGATCGCCACTGCTCCACCCTCGTCGAGGCCACCCGTTCCATCGCAGTCTCGGCACCAAGCGGAGCATCACCTGCGGCTTGAACTGCGTAGGCACCTGGGTGATATGCCATGGCAACCCCCGACACCACCGCTGCCAACGTTTGGAGCGTTCGTGCTGGGCCTGAAACTGCAGAATTCACCTCAGTATCACCAGGTACGAAACATGCATCACTAGGCCGCAGCTGCTGCAGATGGGTCTCTATGCAAGTTGGGGTGACAGCCTGGACACTGGGAGGGTGGACAGGTACTGCACACTGAAGAGAAACAGTGCTCACAAAGTTCTGGGGTCGGAATGCCACAGGCCCGACATGGCGGCAAGGGTTCCTCCCCAGCCTCCATGGCACCGAGCCACCCCCAGAGCGACCGCACTGCTCTGGCCCGTGGTGCCCTCCACGCAACCAGGTCAGCTGGGATAGGCACCATTGATGGGTCCCTCCATCCTCGGCGCGGGGACTGCCACTTCCTCCAGACATCCCACAGCTCGGCAAGGTCGACCATACTCTCGGCATTGTGCTCGATGAAGGCCACCAAGCCGAAGATGTTGTCCGGCGCAAAATCCCTAGCTGTCCAATGGGTCCGCAGCGGCTCAATGAGCAGCAAGTCCAGCTTCGCCTCGCCCAGGCGATCATAGTAGGACTGCCACGCCAGCCGCGGGTCACTCCCGGGCAGAGCCAAGACAGCTGAGCTGTTCCAAGTACCAATCCATGGGAACTTGAATCCTCCCAAAAATTCGGTACACCTCCTACAGTTCTCCTCCATGCAGGGTGACCGTCTGAAAGGGGGAAGTCCCTCCACCCCCAAACCAATGGGATGAGGGGGGAAATGGTCGATCTGACAAACTGAGGACCATAACCTGGTGGCTTGAGAAACCAGGCCCCGCTGAAGCAGGCCTTCCACGTGGGTCTTGAACTCGTAGTAGGCCGCCGCGTGAAGGATCTCAGCGTCGGTGTGGGCAGCCTCATTCCAACCCGGCCGAACGACAACGGCGGCCCTGGGCATCAGGGGGGTATCTCCCACCTCCGTAACCTCTGTACTCTAGGGTAACTCCCTAGTAGAGGAACGAATAACCACTTACTCTAGGGTGACTCCCTAGTAGTGGTGTGGGTACCCCAACAAAAGAAGAATGATGAAGCCAGTTTGGCTCAGACTTGAGCCAAAATGGATTCATCAACTTACACACTCACCCTAATGATAATGCACACCCAGTGCCTGCCAAACACGATGCATACATACATCGATTGTGTGTTAGTTTTCATTGATTTGTTCATTTGTTTTATCTTTGTTTCCATGGTTTTCATTTAATTTTCCATGGTTTTCAGTGATTTCTCCACGGTGTTCATCACTTTCTTCATGGTTTTCATCAATGTTTTCCATGGTGTTCATCAATGTTTGCCATGGTTTTCATCAATGTTTCCATGGTGTTCATCAATTTTCATTGATTTGTCCATTGTTTTCATCAATGTCTGAAAGGTGTTCATCGATTTTTTGCTGGTGTTCAATTTTGTTCTGTGGTTTCCATGGTCCTCATGGATGTTTCCATGGTTTTCATTGATGTTCATCGATTTTTCATGGTGTGCATCGGTTGTTCCATAGTTTTCATTGTTTGTCATTCAGTTTTCAATGCTTTGTTCATTGATTTTCTCCAGGACTTTCATTCATGTTCAATGGTTGTCGTCACTTTCTCTGACGTTATCATTGGTTTTTCTACAATGTTCATCAATTTTTCAACGGTTTTTCATCAACGTTTCCATGGTGCTTATGGATGTGTGTTATTTCATGGTGTTCATTGATTTTTACATGAGTTTCATGTTCATCATTGTTTGGTGGTTTTCATGATTGTCCATGGTTTTTATTGATGTGTTCAATTGTTTTCACCGATTTGTCAATGGTGTTCATCAATTGTCCATGGTTTTCATCGATTTCTCCCTGGTTTTCAATGGATCTCCATGGTTTTCATTTATGTTTAAAGGGTGTTCATGGTTTTTGTGTTGGGTTTTCGTCGATGTTCCAAGGTTTTTATTGATGTTTCCATTGTTTATCGATTTTGCTCCGGTTTTCAATATTGTTGCAATGTGTTTGGTTGAATTTCATGCCTTCAGCGGTTTGGAACCTACATATATATGTAGTGTAGTCTAGCTACAAGTGTGCAAGTTTGGATTTGAATAAAAAACGAAGCAGAAGGGGGCGATTTGGGGAGGGCTCATATGTAATGCTGTAGGTTGAATATTGTACTCAGTGTGTACATTATGCACAACATGCACCTGGTGAACATGCAGGCTGAAGGTTGAGGCACAACCATGTTGGGCGCAGATAGTTGAGGGATGAGGATTTATTTGGGGTTGGTATGGCTTTTTATGTAAGGTTGGTTTAGGGTTTATCTGGGGGTGGTTTAGGGTTTATTCAACGTTTGTTTAGGGGTGGAGTGGTTGTGTTTAGGGATACAATTTGGGGATACAATGCTGTGCAAACAAAAAGTTTTGAATATGCGGATACATGTTATTTACATATGTATATATCACACGTCCACGTATGTATATATCCATCCATCCATCCATCCATCCATCCATCCATCTATATATCTATCTATACACGCATGTAGAGTAGTGTACTTAAAAGTGTGCAAGTTTGGATTTGAATAAAAAACGGAAGGGGATTGGTGGGGAGGGCGCGCCGCCTCCCGCCGATAGCACAACGATGATACCCATCCTCATATGTAATGTTCTGGGTTGAATTTGGTATGCAGTGTGTATAAAAATTAACAACATGCACCTTGTGAACATGTAGAATATAGGTTGAGGCAAAACTGTGTTGGGCGCGGATAGTTTCATTGGATGTTAACGAGGTGTTCCTATAAAGTCTATCATTGGATCGCTCTCTTATTTTGCTAATTATTGCCCCTTTTTTCGTTCTAATTGATGTCTTGCTCTTTGTCTTTACAATAGTTGAAGAATTGCCAAGAGCAACAAAAGCCACAAGCCAAGAAACAGAGAAGACAAAAGAAACATAAGTCAAGGAGCAAAAAGCCACACAAGACCAAATTCCAAGAGTCCGAAAAGCCACAAACGCCACAAGAAAGAAAAACACAAATAACAAAAACACCCCTCCAAATGAGAGCCCGTACAAAGGGTAGATAGTACAGTATATTAGTATATTCCAGGAAAGACCGCGCATCAAATTTTCGCTTGTTATATAGAGACTTTAAGATCCAAAACCTTTAACAGCTGTGCGTTGCAAAATTGGACCCTGATTTCACTATGAACATCCGGTTAAACCGTGCCAGCTTTAAAACCCTCCCCAAATAGCTTGGACGAATTTCTGTAGTGCACATCATGAGTCATCTGTGTGTGTGTGCAAGCTTGTGTCAATGTATATAGTCTATAGATGTCTATAGTGCATTTCCATCTGCATAATTATCCAGAATCTTAGTACCTTAGCAGAACAGTGCAGCACATCAATAGTGACAGTGTAAGATTCCACAGATGTCTGCCAAAGTGCTAACATTGCGTATGCTCCATCTGAACTTGATCAAAACTTGCCACGATGACCACGTGCAAAAGTGCATGAGAATCATGAGATGCTTACTGCTTACAATCTCTCAAGCATTCTTTATTTTAGAGTCTTCGGCGAAGGTGTTTCAAATCTGTCCTTGATTTCAGCATGTTCAACAGTGTTAAAATGTGTTAAACCTTCAAAAACCTTCAAACATCTTCGAACACTTTGCGGCCTCCAAATGTAGCGATGAGGAAGAGTCGGTGGCTGACACTGAGCTGGTTGGCCTTTCAGACCCACGTGCAGCTCCTGAGACAATGGCCACGGAACCCAGCTTCAGCTGAAAGATTGAGAACAGAGGCGACTGACGACTATGACTAGAAAACATAGCCACATCCACAGCCACTTAATTCAGTCTCTGTTTCTCTACAAGGCTGTGTGTCGATGTCATCTCGAAGAGTATTAAAATCGAAAAGACATAGAGAAAAAGTGCATCTCCATCAGTTAATATGGAAGATCATGAAGATCTCAAAAATAACAAAACTACATAAAACATTATAAATTATAAATCGAAAAAAAGAATCCTCACCATAGCTGGTGTATGATGCCAAAAGCATTCCATGGGTCAGCTGTGGAGACCCAACAAACTATATATCTAGCTATGCACTCGTCTTCACACACCCTCGTATCTGCAAGCTCCGTTCCAGTCCTGTCGAGTAGTGGCTGGAATGCGCTCGTTTCCGGCACACTTCAGACAGAGGTGTGGATGGCGGAGGGGGCATGGTCTCCGGCCTGTTCAAGGATGTTATGCTTTTTGAAGTCGCCATGTCAGAACTCTAATTAATCTGGTGATGCGTGCACATTTTCAAGGCTAGCTGGTTTGCATATGTTTGCATATTGTCCGACTGCATCCGATTGCATTGCGGCAGCCTAAAGTCTCCACTCTCACCGTGATCATCTCTAGATGGCTCCAAAGATGTGCCTCACAGATCGTGCCGCAAAGCTGAAGGCATCAACACTGCCTTGGATTATGTGGACTTACATGCGGATGGGCATTCCACTCTGCTATGCCAACTGCAAAAGGCAGTGAAGAGCCATGAAGAGCCCCCAAAAAAGGCATACAAAATAAATTCCCAATGATACTGGTAGTAGGCGCCTATCATACCTATCCAATTCGGAGTGATCTATGAGGCATGATTCGATCGCAAATGCAGAGCCTTCTTGCATAAAGGCCCTCAGGATTTCCTCCTCCACTGTGCCCTTGATTTCCTGGACCCTGCGCAAACAAAGTCAAACAATGCGTCAAGGTTTCACATATTCCGGGGCGACTGAGTGTGTTGGAGGATGTTGGATGATTCTTGGTTTAAATCTGAAGAGATTTGTCGGGTATCATGGGAAACCCTAGTGATGAGTGATGCTAAATGTCTGTTATATCTGGTCTAATTGCTGGGAACGCTTAATTTCAGAAAAGAGAGACATTTGAACTCACCTCAAAGTACCATTCTCAGGTGGGAGGATCTCGGAAATCTTGGCCAAGAAGAGATGGCATTGGACCTGACCACAAGTAAACAGATGTAAACATGAAAGCATATCATATCATATGATAGCACAGACTTAACAAATTCCGAGGGAAAAACCTTCTGAGCTTTGGACCATGGAAAGGCCCAACTCAAGCAGTTCTTCGAAGCGTATCAACGCCAAATCCTGATGCAACTTGCATCAATTGGGACCATGCCAACATATGCCAACATCTTCCGGTGACCCCGATATTCTGCAATTACATAATTACTATTCTCATTACCGGGCATTACCGTCTCAGCGTCAACGGTTGGGGCCGTTGGGCTTGGAATCCCCATAGGTAGCACTACGCTGCGCCAGCCGCTCCACCTTGATTGAGCGGAGTTCCCGCTGCTGAAAGGCCATTTCAAAGCATTCCAAGTGAAGTTCAGAGAGAAGCCGTTGGACTGCCTGGACTGTGGCCACGGCGGCTAGGCTTCAATTTGACTGGACAGTGATTCGCTAGCTCCTAGCATTCTCACTTCTTCATTGCATGTTTAGGAATCCAAAATAATGGTGGAGCTGCTTCAAATCAGCTGCTGCTGCACTGCAATCCCTTCAACACGGGCCACAACTGAGCAATACTAGGCACCTCTGGGACAGGAGCAAGGGAACCCATCTTCGTTGCTTCAGTGCCATGCTCCACTGACATTGAAACTGGATGAAATCGGTCCGTGTCACAGCATTTGGCTACTTGCTGCCCTTTCTCACATCTCAAATCCTTCCTATTGCTGCATTTGCCAGTGCACATGTGAGTGGTTCTTTTTCATATGTTTCATTGGCTTGCCTGGCTCATTGGATTCAAGTCATTGAAGACTGATAAAGAGGATGCAAAGACACTTGCAACGCCATCATTCTGTTTCTGGAAGCCCCTAGATCTCTAACAGCTGCAAGTCAGACAGAGGAAGATTTGGAAGAAATATGAAGAAATGGGATTCGGAAACGCCGTGACCAATCGTTGGCTTGTGAACATTGGCGCCCTCTCGTATCTGGCCGTCTTGGGGCCGGACGCGCCAAGCACCAACCAGTCGGGATTCTTTTGGATACTCCTCCCACCTCGAATACGCCATCATGCGTCGTCAACGATCTGAGACCGCCCCCCCTTCTAGACAGCTTCGTACTCCAAGTTCGGGGCTCTATTGAGTAAGTCCTCAGCAAAGGAGCAACTACACCGTGCTCTTCTACACGTTAAATTGTTAAATGGAAAGAATTGCGTCTGTTGGGTTCGATTCCCTCTGTCTCCCTCTCCCTCTCCTTCTCTCTCCCTCTCCTTCTCTCTCTCTCCCTCCCCCTCCCCCTCTCCCTCTCCCCCTCTCTCTCCCTCTCTCTCTCTCTCTCTCTCTCATATCAAGTTATGCATATGAAGCGATCGCCATCTCGATCTGGGGGCACCAACAGCTTCGCTACGCGCTTCCAACATCTCCACTCGGTTCTTGCAACCCCGGAAGCCAACCGGAAGAGCCTATTGCAACGATCAAGTGCTGCCAAACAAACAAAATAGATCAAAAAATGTGAGAGAGAGAGAGAGACCCTGAGAGAGTATGTAGAGAAAAGATGAGAAAAGGAAAGAAAAAAGAACTGGGACAATGGAACATTGCATATAATAATAATAAGAAGAAGAATAATAAGAAGAATATCAATTATAATTTATAATTACTTCTTATCAGCAGCGCTAAATCTTTGAATTTGCAGCTGTCGATCGTGAAGCAGATGGGAACGCATTGAAGAAGTGAGATGATGCATGATGGTGCTATAGACTGGGTGGCAGTAAAGAACCTCTGATTCAACTCCAACTGAACCGTGGTCTCTTTGGTCCGCTCCACGGTCACATCCTGAGCTCACCGTCACACTGCTTTGCTCCTGTCACAAGTTTCACACCACACTCAACGAGCTCTTTTTACAAGTGGCCAAGTGATTTCCATTGAAATACCGTGAAATACCCCCATGATATCTTTGCCCTGAGCTCAGAGCCACTTTACCCATGAAATCGTTGTCAGACCTTGGAAACAAAGAGCGCACGTTAATCTCCCAAAAAATTGCCGCAAGTCAAAAACTGGACCGAAAGAAGGCATTTTAAAAAAAAAAACTGATTTGAAGAAACAAAGTACGGATCCAGTATGATCCAGTGCAGTACATGCTCCACTGGAGAGGCCTGGTAGGCTCGGAAACTAAACGCGAAATGGGACAACTGGGACAAGCAATCTGAGAAATTCTGAGACTCTGAGACCTGAGGTTCTGAGCATTGAATCAAAGTCGTAAAGCATGAAGGCCACACGGTCCCAGCCACCGACCTCAATGGACAGTTCCCAAGTCTAGGCGAAGACTGAAAAGATCTGAGATCTGAAAAGCTCTGACGAGGCAAGAGGTTTGGAAAGATTTGGAAAGGTTTATATAAGTCGTATCTTTAAGAGTTGCCAGCATTGTGCTTTTCTGGCCCTGTCCACTCTGGTCTCCAACATTGCAAAAGCGATGGTAGTATGCCCTTGCAACCTGGAGAGCAAGGCTGCGTCCTGAACTCTGGATTCCCTCCCCGAATGAGTGATGATTTCGCCATTTGCCGGCAGCATGAGTCCTACAGTAATCCATACGCTCAGACCATGTCATGACATGACTCTACCAGCCGCACCGGTTCTGGATGCGCCATTTAGATCCATTTAGATCCATTTCGTATTTGCTTGGCACCTCTGGGTGCTTAAATAACAGCCAAACAAGGGTGGTCTGGCCTCCCAAGAGAGGCGCAAGATGCCTCCATAGTAGAATCTCCAGTACCTGGGGTTGTGTCGAACAGTCTAGCACGATCTAGCACATCCAACGGATCTCCTTGAGTTGTACGAATCGTCTTCAAAACATCAAGGAAAAATAAATATATTATATATTATATTGCATCTGATGTATCTGCAACATCCTTGAACCAAATTCAACCAGCTCGCCAGAAGATAATCCCAGCCCTGGGTGCAAGCCACTTTTTCGTCTGGTGGTTTGCCGATTTCTGTCGGGCAACATTGACACTTCCATTTTGCCCTGGCTGGTGTCCAGGTTAATGATCCTGACACGCACTGGTTGCCCCACCTCCACCTCTTGCACCTAAGTTCAAGAAGCAAAAGCAATAATGTAATTAGACTCTTCGCGTGCTTTGAGATATTTTAAGCACAGCATGCGTATATCTACGTGTGCATGTGTGTGGATATGTGTGTGTGTGTTTGCGTGTGTGCATGCGTACGTGATGTCGGGCAAATTGATTTCATACGTCACCCTGAGACCCTACAGCATGGCCGGAAGAGATACACTTGTGCGATGCGCTCGGAAAGGTTCTGGGGAGTACCAGGGGGTACCCTAGTCCTGCGAAAGTTCTGCCCTCCTTGTGCGGGCCTTGTTGGCTGCCGTCCCATGTGCAATGTTGCATGGCTAAAAAATATTAAAAATTAGAAAAGCAAATGAGACCCCGCTGAGACCCCGCTGAGACCCCGCTGAGACCCCGAGCCATCCGAGCCATGTTTCCATATCGAAGCAGGGCATCTGCTCGAATGCCGTCGAGTTCGAGAGCAATGAAGAGGCCAGTTTTAGCACGGTGTGCAACGAATCCAAGCATCCATTTCGTCGGTGGAATGTTCTCAAATGTGGACAAGTCTGATGCTGGGAAGCTAGGTCGAGATGACTTCATTGAACCATCCAGCATGGATAAGGTGATCTTCCCGGTTCGGAAGGACAGCAGCCTCACCTTCACCTCTTGCCCAATCAACAGGGACTGTGGCTTGAGATCGCTTGGCATCTGCGATATTGGGAGGAATCCAGTTTCATAGTCACCATTCTTCAAGACCAATGCTACGACAAGTCCACCCGTGTTTATCGTTGATACCACACCGTTGTACCAGTCGCTTCCAATGGCTGCGACACTGCTATATTTTGTCGACAGCTTCAACTTTTCCTTCTCTACGTCCAGGGCTTCTATGCGAACGTTGATCATGTCTCCCTCTCTCACCTCAAATTGTCAAACCACGGAAGAGCAAAGCATAATAAAGCCAGGGGTAAAGCATGAATAAACATGGCTAAACACCATTTGCATCGATTTGTATCGGCAAGTTTTAGAGACCAAACATGGTAACACTGAAACGGTGTACTCTGCAAAATGTTATATTAATATGCTATACCGTACAGTACTATGTTATATGATATGATATGATATTATATTATACGTAATACATTATGTTATTCACCCATGTCATCGAGTGTTTGCATGTCACCCGGTGTGGGTAAGGGTGCAGAATGGTAAAAACATGTAAAAAAAACATATATAAAACATCAATTGTGCTGAAAGCACATCATCCCCATGTTTTTCAGGACGAGACTGCCTACATCATTGGCATTCATTAGCTATAAGATGCTATAAGTAGGCTACAAATGTAAGTTTGACTTCATCTGATTTGCCTTTGACACAGCAGCAAAGAGCATATAGATGCATATAGAAGTCAATGGAAGTTATGCAGTTGCATATAGTTGTATACTATCTTATGTTAGTTCTTTGAGGTTCCGTGCTAGTGCCAGGATCCTTGATACTAGTACTGGTAGCAAAGGCAACTTGTTGCCGGGTGGCCCTGCCAGTCATCTGGGATTCGTGCAGGAGGCCATCGACTGCGCCCATCTCTGAAAATGCCGGCGCAGTCCCTGGATTCACAGCTACAAATGCCCCAATGTCTATCACCCGGACCACTTTGCCCTGCAGCCATTGGTCAGATGTAATCTTTGCCAAAGCAGCTAGTCTTGACTGAGCTCCGCCATGCATAACATGCTTCCTATCAGGTTCGGCTTGCCTGTTCATTGATTTGATGGTATGGGGCTTCATGGATAAAATCATTCGGCCAGCTTCGACATCTACTGAAAGCACTCTGACTCTCACTTCCTGTCCTTTGGACAAGATCTGATCCACTGAGGAGACAAAAGAAGTGCTCAACTCAGAGACGTGCAAGAAGCCATCTGCAGAAATGCCATCTATAGACACCGTTACGAAGGCTCCCTTGAAAGAAGCGATGCTCTTGACAACTCCAGTCACCCATTGATCAGGCTTCAAATCGGTGAAAGGGCTCAGGTCTGTTTCGATCAAGTCTTTGACCATTGTTAGGCTGAAATGCCCATCCTTCTTTCTACTGATCCAAACATCTACACTATCGCCCTCTTCGAGGACTTCTTCCGTGCTATTAAACCAGCTTGTCGCCATCCTTCCAATTGGCAGCAGCCCATGCTCTTCAGCACCGATGTCTACAAAAGCACCAAAGCTATTGATTTCAAAGACAACCCCCGAAAATTTCTGCCCGATCTCAAGCTCTCGAACTGGAATTAGTGCACACCGCATGTGCTCCGACGTTACCTGAACCTCCTCAATACCGTCTTCTGGCACATCCCATTTTACCAAGTAAGAGCCATTTCGGTTGATTGATAGTATCTGACCCGGATACCACATGCAGTCCTCCTCATAGTAAGTGAGTACTTTGTCACCTACTTCGTATTTTCGGCTCTGCATCGTGCCTGTTGAACTCGCTGATACTGCAACATGAATATGTCGTCTCCGATGGCGTGCAGCTTGCTCAGCGAAATGCCGTGGAGGACTGGGCCCAGTTCGCCCTGAAAAGGCACCGCTCCAGGAGAAACTCCAGGACCAGGCTGTGGCAAGGAGACACAATTGTTTCAAGTGCGTCAAGCGATTCATCGGGAAAGATTCGTTCTCAAACAAAAGGTCAAGGGATAGCATGTGCTGTTTCTCTTTGGGTAGCTGGCGCAAACATTGATTTGATTTCTTGTGGTCCTGCAATGTGCTTTATGTACACCCGCGAAAAGGCCATCAGAAACTACAGCATTGCTGTTACCACTTTTTCCCTTCTTACTTCCGATCAGGAATGCGTCCTTGCAATCGCTTGGGGGGAAGCCCATGCTTGCATGATATGGTGCAAGAGCTCATGTTCAAACTTTGAAAACACTGGCAGAAAAACGTGCATAAGCCGCATGGGATGTTTAAGCACAGAGGGCCAGCGACTTGACACAGTATGACAGAGCATTATGCTCAATGTGAGAACTACAGCATCACACACAAAGCGCGCAAAGACATGAGCCCTCACAGGATTCACCACGGTTCCAAATGGGATCAAATACGTTAAGCCCCGTTAAGCATATTAAGCTGAGGCTGTGGCTTCCTCCGATCATGCTGGTCGTCTGCGCTCATCGATGCATTCCTTACTTCTCTTGTTGCAGCTTGGCAACAGTTTGTCAGGAAAATACAGGAGGGGTGCGCTTCGGGCACTACAATGCCGTCGTTATCCGTCGTTCAATGCCAGGATACTTCTCGATTGTGTTGAGCTCCGACCTGCCCCAATCGAAGATGGAGACAATGGTCTTGCTGCCTCGGAAATGCCCTGCTGAAGACAAAATCTCAAGTATCTCAGGGACTGGCATTCTGCTGGCATTGGGAGGAATGAGAGGTTTTCAACAGGTTTCAAAATGTTTCAGCTCTAAGAAGAAGCCTTCAGTGGCAAACAGGCCGAGTGATTCTCGAATCTTCACATTGCACCAACAAGGCCAGTGCGCAGCATTTCTTCTTCCCCACGTTTTGGCATCCTAAGTCAATGTGCAACCAATCGAATGGAATCGTTGCAATACGTACAATGCTGTGCCGTGTGATTTTGAGGAAATGCCCAAACTTCGCATCCAAAATTAAACATTTGCATCCTATGTGGATTATATGGCGCTCTCGTAAGATTGGGGCTGTCCAATGTCAAAGCCCAGTGCCACTGAACCTGGGCATACTCTGTTTTGGGATGGCCAGTTTCGATGGTGCCCCCGGTGCTGGACTCGATTTTCCAAAGGTGGCCAGTTCGAATTTGATGTTTCAATATGTTTCAATATGATATTGCAAGCTAAAGGACAGACCATGGAAACGGAGTTGAGCAGAACGAGCAACGGGAAACCCACCAACACACCCCCACCACACCCACTATACCACACCAGTACCGCAGACTGTGTCAAAGTCATTCAAAGTCTGCATAGTGTAAATGGGCTTGGTCCATCTTGGTCCCATGCTTCCAATCCACTTCTGTGGTATTGGGCACCTCAGGCTTGATGCTGAAAGCACAAGTATAGCACAAGTATAACGCAGTCAAAATCACACCGCAACAGGCCGCATATCAGGGGAACTGGCTTCAAGCAAGCAACGGCCAGTCCTTAGATGCTCCGCCGCATTAGTCATCGTTACTCCGTCCAACTTGTTGCGCTGAGCACGCCGTATGCAAAATCCCAAGGTCCCAGCCTGTCACTTTGACCAGGGTCTGGTGAAGCACGATTTCCGCCTCGGCCACGGTAGCAAGAGTGGACTATCAAAATGTTCAAATACCATCAAATTTTCTGTATTCTATATGCTACAGCTACAGCTGCTGCAGTCCAAGGGCTGCTTTGCGGGCTTTGGCTCTCTGCCAGCGGAATGGGATGGAAGGTGGGCCATGCTGCACCAGCAAAGCGTCAGCATCACTATCTTGTAGGCTGCCAACCGTCTCAGAACGACCAAGCTCTTTTTCCAGGGCGGCCTGCCATCAAACTCATCAAACTGTTCAATCACGTGGCGTGCGTTAAAACACTGAGATGGCCAGCTCATTCTTTCACATATCCCAGTGCACCTTGCTTGGAAGTGGATGGTCGAGCAAGTCCAAATAAAACCTCACTGCCCAGAAAGCAGCCCCATCCCCAAGCCCTCCCAATGCTCTAAAGCTTCTCAAATGTTCTGTACGTATCTAAGTCAAGCACGTGAGCATGCTCGCCGCAGTCATTCGTTGCAACATAATCCTGAAAGCCTGAAACCACAAAGATTTCGCGTGGCGTCGCTTATATGATATCTTGAACTGTGTGGGGGCGGACGGAGGAGGGCACCCAAAAAAATCAAAGACCCTCACCTTCTTGGACAGCTTTTCCTCAGTTCAATTATGCGGTCAGGAGGCATCATCTGCATTTGTTCTCCATGTCGACAAATACTGGATAATACTGGATGAAAGAGGGTCTGGGCACGTGACATTCTTTTTCCCAAGATCATGCAGCGGATCCTGCCCGCTGGTGCTTGCATTTGCTTCCCTTGTCGACCCCCAAACGCTGCCATAAAATGAAACACTTCCGCTAGTCTTGCAGCTACGGCTCCTCATGACTCCGATGAAGAAGGTGGTGTTATCAGCATGGGGAGATGCAAGATCGTGTCATATATTTCTTCAACAATTTATGTTGATCATCTGCACGATGCAATGGCCATCCAAATCAATACGCTCTCGGTCCATCGTTGTCAATGAAGCTGGCTGGCCATCAAAGCCCTCAAGACGGAAGCCCTCTCCAGCAGAGTTGGTCAGACCATCCTGAGGCTGCTCGAAGATTTTCGATGATTTTCTGAAAGCAACTGCTGCAACACGGTGATGAGGGAAAATGTTGTGAAAATGTTGTGAAAATGTCAGATAGTTTCATATAGTTTCCCCATGCTTCTCCCCCCTCACATCCTCACGACATGATTCTGCAGCTAAGCCGATTTCACCTCGTCCTGAGGCTACCACAACGACAGCCTGGCGCAAGGCAGCTGCATGCGACCTTTGCCAAAAAAAATGCAGCATGTTGCAGCTTTCTGCATAGCGGGAGCGGGTTGGGTCAGTTGAGTCGGTTGAGTTGGTTGAGTCTGGACAAGATGTGACCAGTGGAGATGGCATCGCACTTGAAAGCACGATTCATCCGACTCAACCATCAGCTTTCCCGTTCCATCCTTTCCTGCCCAGTTTTTTGTTGCACACTGAGGTTCCAGACTTCCCCTGCCAGCCTGCTTGTGCAGTCCTGGGCAAGGACAAATTTGTCCAAATCCAAAAGCAGATTGAAGCTTCGAAAAATAGTGCGGTTCAGTCATTATCTTGAAAGAAAATGTGGCTTCGCGTTCAGAATGCTTTGAAGCGAGAAAGTCATGATTTAGTGCGGTGGGGGAAGACCCAGCACTCAGCACCTGTGTGATGATGTGACGATGTAATGTGCTTCAGAGCACAGATGGTCTTCGCGCCCTTTAGCTGAACAACATGAGCGAAGATGTGTGCCTAGATCATCCTAGATCCAGGTGACAAATAGATGAATGACCTGCTGAAGCAACTGAGCAGGTACAAAACGTACAAGTACATGTAGTGATTGAAGAAGTCTAGCCTGTTCTCACGTGTTGTAGAGGAGCCAGGAAGTTGCACCAGCCCAAAACCATCAGGGTGCTCTCTAGCAACATTTATGTGCATATAGTGGGATATAGTACCCCAAAACCTGTTGTTAGATTACTGTAATATTATATAAGACTAATAGCCTGCTGAGTATAGACCTGTTAACCAACCGCCAACCTGATCCCAATGACATAAACAAATCGTCACCAAGAAGCTGCTGACCAATCTTGATGTCCAGCAAACGCAGCTTTTTGCGCCCGTCGCGGAGGTTCTGAAGCACCTGATGTGTTCCCGTACACGCCCCAGTCGCAACGGAAAAACAACACCGACACAGCATGTTCACCATACAATTTTGGGTTGGCACCAGCAATTCGACTGGTTTCTTTGTCTCCTTGCCCTCCTCAGCCAACGGTCAGACACGTGCTCTCCCACAAAGTTTTGGCATCACGCAAGCCCACGCATACATGTTAGACACACATATATATATAATATCACATAATTATTGTTCGATTCATTTATTTATCTGTCTATCTACCTAGTATCAGTATCATATGAAAGTATTTATTAAACTATACTGTATTTATGATAAATCATGAAAATATTAAACTCCTCGCAAATGCCCCATTCACAACCACGGCGACTACTTCACCTCGCTGCAAGGGCAAACCCCCCCTAGCCACACAGGTAGTGTAGCACTGACTGTCACCAAGATGTCCTCATGAAGTGCGACGACGCCAGCATAATCGAAGGTGAAGCGGAGCACCGGCCTCGGCAAAATGCCACACGAGTGATTTGCCGGTTCTTGCCTGTTCCAATTAAAGAATGTAAAAGACACAAAGCAAACATCAACAAAGGAAAAATCGGTTAGAAAATCAAATAAAACATCAAAAAATGTTCCAAAAAAACCAAAAAAAATCCTCGTTCTAAGGAGGTCGCATCATTGCAGCGGCACTAGGCCTCCAAGGTCAGGTAGTTGTGGTCCGAATCGGTCGCGTGACATCGCTCCAACGTGAATCAGTCTGAGCTGCGGGCGTCTCTGCACAGAGTTTGACCTGCGTTGCCAGGGACACGTCCTGAAACTCGTGTCATATTTTGTCATGTCAAGCTGCACAAACGATCAACAAACTATCAACAAACTATCAACAAACAAACTGTTAAAGCAAAGGCGGTGGCGGAAATTTCAAAAATGGGAAACTTACAGGACACTTTTGTTGTTGTGATGCATGGATGGCAGAGCGAACCCACTGATGGATCGAAAGGTGGTTGAGGTTCTGATTTCTCTCTCTCTCTCTCTCTCGGGTCTCTGTCTATCTCTGCCTGTCTATCTATCTGTCTGTCTGTCTATCTGTCTGTCTTTCTTTCTTTCCATCTTTTGTTGAGGAAGCCTCGCAGAATTGCTTTGTTTTGGATCGATAGATAGATAGAGAGATCGATAGATAGACAGATAGGCAGATAGACAGATAGGCAGATAGACAGACAAACAGATGGACAGGCAGAAAGATAGACAGATAGACAGATAGACCACATCACTTCTGTCTTTCCACTCCCCAAATTGGGTACCATGAATAGATCTTTGCACTTGTCCAACAAGATACTTAGTGCAACCCCAGCTTTGCGTTCGATGCCTGCATTCGTGCTTGATGCTATGCACACATTTAGGTCATCCATCCAATTTGGACCAAGGAACGGATGGCATTCTTCTGATGTGCCCTCGGTGGGGGTGATATCAGGCATTTCACACAAAGGGATCTTTTCCAACACGTTGTGAGCATCCAGGGCATCAACATACGATCGCAAAAGTTTGGCCCATAAAAGCCGAAAATGACATCGGCGAAAGAGTCACCGGGACGTGACCCACGAAAAACGGCGCCTGCCCAGAAGCGTGCTTTTATCATGGACATGTGCTCCGCACCACAATAGCGTGCAATTTTTCAACCTCTCAAGTTCCAGAAACGCTCCAAGGCTGTGGTGCTTTTGCCATGTTCACTTCCAAATGTGCTTCAATGCTTCATGCCTCCAAAAGTGCTCCGAGCATGTGGTGTTTTGTACATTTTGGCTTCGACATGGGCTTCCTGCCACAGCCGCATGGACTTTGTCGACGTCTCAACTTCCAAGGGTGCTCCGAGGGCTTTGTGTTTTCTACGTTTTTCGAACGTGCTTCCCGCCACAGTTGCTTGCACTTTTTCGACATCTCAACTTCCAAAGGCGGTCCGAACCCGAGGTCTTTTTGTTATTTTCACTTCCAATGTGCTTCGCGCCACAATGGCATGCAATTTTTCCTCTCTCACACGACCAGATGGCTCCGCACCCGCCGCTTTAGCGAGCCGACTTCCAGAGCCACAAAACATTGGAAAAAAACGCAGTGTTTCGCGACTTTTCTACCTTTTCACGCACCTGCATCTTCTTTCTTCTGACTCTTTCTCTTCTCTGACTCTTCCCACCTCTGCTTTTCAATCTGTCCATATTGTCGGAAGTTTGACTTCCAAACTTCATTCGATTAAAGAGACGTTAAAAGTTAAAAGATAGTTTCCAGATTTTTACCCTCACCTCTTCATAGAAGTCGACTTCGTCGCTGGCCCTGCTCAGGTCTTTGCCTCCGAGGCTAATCTTCTGCGATGGCAAAAGGAGATGCAAAAGGCATGGGATGTCTTCATTCATAGAAAAGCGTCAGAACTTGCACCAAGGATAGCTTCAAATCACATGTTCGGTCTCGGAGCCTATGTAGTAGTTGCATGACTTCTCTGCAGTTGGGTTTCGCCTTGGAACAAGACGAGAAGTAATAGCGTCAAGACCACTTTTATGGATTCCTTAGATTCAAGATGATTAGATATTTCATATGCTTTAATATGACGTGTTATATGTTAAGATATGTTGCAATATTTAAAAAATGTGTTATAATATGTTTAAAAATGATATAATATGTTAAAATATGTTAAGATATGTTAAAATATGCTGAGATATGTTAAAATATGTTAAACTATGTTTTACTATTACTATCTTATAATATGTTATAATATGCTATAATATGTTATAATATGTTATAATATGTTATTAGTTTTAAGATTTTAAAATATGTAATAATATGTTGTAATAGGTTATAATGTGTTATAATATGTTGTAAGATGTTATAAGATGTTATAATATGTTATAATATGTTACAAGATGTTAAAAGATGTTATAAGATGTGATAATATGTTATAATATGCTATAATATGCTATAATATGCTATTATATGTTATAATATGTTATATAGTGTTCTAATATGCTATAATATGCTATCATGTTATAATTGATATGCTATAATATGCTATAATATGTTACAATATGTTATAATATATTATAATATGATATAATATGTTTTAATATGTTAAAATATGTTATTATATGTTCTAATATGTTATAATATGTTATAATATGTTATAATAGGCTATAATATGTTATAATATGTTGTAATATGATATAATATGTTATAATATTTTATAATATGTTATAATTTGTTATAATATGCTATAATATGCTATAATATGCTATAATATGCTATAATATGTTATAATATGTTATAATATGGTTTAGGATGTTTTAAGATGTTATAAGATGGTATAATGTGTTATAATATGTTAATATGTTAAAATATGCTATAATATGCTATAATATGTTATAATATGTTACAATGTGTTCTAAAATGCTATAATATGCTACCATGTTATAATTGATATGCTATAATATGCTATAATATGTTACAATATCTTATAATATATTATAATATGCTATAATATGTTTTAATATGTTAAAATATGTTATTATATGTTCTAATATGTTATAATATGTTATAATATGTGATAATATGCTATAATATGTTATAATATGTTGTAATATGATATAATATGTTATAATATTTTATAATATGTTATAATTTGTTAAAATATGCTATAATATGCTATAATATGCTATAATATGTTATAATATGTTGTAATATGGTTTAGGATGTTTTAAGATGTTATAAGATGGTATAATGTGTTATAATATGTTAATATGTTATAATATGCTATAATATGCTATAATATGTTATAATATGTTACAATGTGTTCTAAAATGCTATAATATGCTACCATGTTATAATTAATATGCTATAATATGTTATAGTATCTTATAATATCTTATAATATCTTATTATATCTTATGATATCTTATAATATCTTATAATAACATCGTTTTCTTAGCCTAGCCCACTGGCATTGACCACACTGCAGCATCTTCCAGTCGGTTGCTGGGCAGATCATGGACACATCTCTGAGGATGGCTGGGGCTCAAGCAGCACGAGCTTAAAAAAGGGCGCTGTGCCACCAGAGACACCCAGTCGTTGTACCGGAGTCTGTGCAATGGCCGTAGGACATCCATGAGACATCCGAAAACCGCAAGACCATCAAAGATCATCAAGGATCTTACTGTTAGATCTGACTGTTGCATACTCTTGGAAAGGATGGTATGGATTGATGTGGAATGATGTGGGGCGACTGCAACTTGTTCACCGCACTCTATCAGACCCTTCCGATCCCTTCCGTCCTCGAAGAGTTGTGGGTCTATCCGTGAAAGTGATGGCCTGCCTGGGGGGCATTTTCGCGTATTTTTCGCTCCACGGAGGTATTGATGGATAGCATGATGTGCTTGCAAATGCTTGCAGTGTTCTGATCTGCTCTGATCTGTTCTGAGACTTTGTCTGTTCTTCGTGAGAGGGACCTCAGGACAGTCACACAGCAATAGAAACCGGAAGCTGTGCAGCCTCTTCGACTTCAGACTGCAAGTTGGAAAATGTTGGGAAAGTTGGTTGAAACATGTCGAAACATTTGCCACCTGCTCATACCTTTTCCATCCTGATCCATCCTTTTCCACTCTCGCATACCGTGAAGGATTCAAAACCATGGTAAGATGCTTCGGGCAGGAATCCTGCCCCAGGCACATTTTTTGGCAAGAGCCACACAAGGCTAAATATGCTGAAAAAAACCTGACAAGTATGCGCAATCCCAACGATCTACCCGAGAGCCGGCCCAACCGGCACAAATAGCCGTGTACCCATCTGCTCTGGGTGCAGCACAAGCATCCCTTCCACACAAAGAGTGCCGGTCTCCTGCACAAAGTGAAGAAAATGTCTGGCAAACTTCTGTGAACTTGTGAGCTGCTAGTGGTCTCAAGATATCTCACTAAAGTATATATATATACACTCCGTCGAGGACACCTGTCTACAAAAGTAAGACTGCAATGGCAAGACAGCACAAGCCTGTTTCCTGCAAGATGCTGCAAGTATGCTGAGATGATCACTGATGATCATATAGATTCAAGCAATCCACCAGCCTCGCCATTGAGCGTCAATTTGAGCTTTGTCTCGGGATGCCGTGCCGCCTGGCAAACTGGAGGCGTTCACGACCAGGACTTCAAAACCAGATCCAAAATACTCAACTTCCAGATGCAAGTGCTTCAAGTTTGGGAGTGTTTGGCAGGGCAAATAGGGAAAGCTAGAAGTAGCTAGACATGCAGGTGAAATCAGGTGAATCAGTGCGCAAATCTGTGCGCTCAGAAGGGCAGCAAACTAATGAAGCCTGTCAAACTCGTCTCTACTACTCTGTCTATCCGGGTCTATCCTGCTATCCTTCTCTCCAGGACTCCCAACGCACAGGCCTGACTCACGCTTGGTATTCCAAGAGCCGATCCCTTTCCAACAAGATCTGCCTTGCAAGCATGCAGCTGTTCCACTTATAAGTTATTGACAAGGCCTCGTTTGACCAATATGTTTTGGCCAATAATTATGTGACATCAGCATTGGAATTGCAATCTTGGGAGTGGGCAACTTTGCAGGTTACTTCGCCTTGGAGAGTTGGGATATGCTGGACAAGAAGGAAAAGAAACCATTCTGAAACATGAAGGGAAAGCGGAACTCAAGTTGACGTCGTTGGCTGAGGCTTAAACCGCAAAGAGTGGATTTTGAAGCCACATTGGCCTCCAAAACCTCTCAGCGCAGTCATGTTGTGTTCCCTGCTCGTGCCAAATCGTGCCAAGTGGAAGGCCTTGTAAATGAAGCAACTGGTACCAGCTGGTCATGTTGAGCGAGTTTAGCAGTTGATATGTTGCCACGGTTTCCACCCATCAGTCTGCAACCTCAATCCGAACTGTTTCAAAACCTCGGCTCCACTGCGTCAAGCGATCCAAACCTCTCGGACACAAGAAAACATACGAGAACGGATAAAGAGAGCAGACGCTGGATCTTAGGATGTCCCTTGAACCAAATCTTCTTGCAAATCCCTCTCACGGCCTGCAATGGCACGGATGATGGATGATGATGGTACCATAAACAGCCATAAACTGCGTTGTCTTGCTCGGTCTTGTGAAGTTCTGGGCGTCTGGCCTTCAAATCTCTGAGGTCGACCTTGGCGCTGGCGGAAACTGGTGCAATGGAAGAGGACAAGAACTGAGTAACGCAGGAACCAAGCAGCGGGTAAGGGCATCATACTGGACACATTTCTCAGATTTCGTCGTATTTTGTCAGAATCTCTCGGGCACCAGCAGGTATGTTCCCACACAGGGTTCATGTGAGCATTCCAGTCCTCACGGAGTGAAACTGTACCAAGTCTAAGCCAAAGCAGGGCGCGCAAGATGACACAAGACTGCAGCACACCCACCCATGGTATCAAATCTCCTATCGGAGATAGAAGGACCACAACAACTTCGTAACAAACATTGATAGAATTTGACAAAGCACGTAGTTGTAGAAATACATTCCACCTTTATGGTGCCCTTATACCTCTCCCACCCATCTGCCAAGCTGCAACTCGCGTTTTTGTGAGTTCGAATGTTTCCTTGGCAACTGCACTCTAAACACAAACAAGAAACATTACAGTAAGAAACATGAATGCTTGAAATGTCTCACATGCTTCACGTCTTGGGTGCATCTGAGCGCACTTTTCGTGTTCACTCCAAAATGGCTTCGAGGGCCCACACGTCCCCACCAGTCCAATGTACGACAGCATAAGGATCCATTCTGAAGCGGCAAGGCGCGCACACACAACGAAAACAGAAAGTCCAACGTTGTTGATGAAAAATCTCGAAGATTCTTGAAGCTTGAGCAATGCATAGCAATGCCTGCCGTAAGATTCAAAGTTCTTGGTCAGGTCAGCTTTCATGATCTTGAGGACCTTACTCATTCTAACTCCAACTTATCGGACAGTACCAATGATCATTCAATGAATGCAAATGAGAGAAGAAAACAGCTGCACCGCAAGGACTGCGGGTCCCTGCAGCGCTCATCTGAAAGCTTCTGGATCTCTCCTGCACCGCTTGACTCTGAAGACACAGCGTCCGTTTACAGGATGTGTCTGCCATGTGTAAATACAGCATGCTCCGTCTCTCCAAGTTCATCTAGGAAAATGAATGAAAATGATCATAGATGGAAGTATGCATAGTGTGTGTGTGATCATGTGTTCATCACGCTCAATGGCATAGCATCCATGCTGTGAAGTACTACAAAATAAGTTGTCGCTTTTCAAGCAGCACACACCTCGGACGTTTGCAAATCTATACAATCTTGTGGTCGAAACTCGGCCAGGCAGCCAGGTTCACAGTTGACATGTTCACACAACCCAAATCTGCAGGCACCCTGATCGAGGGTCGTGTTTGGGTGTGCAAGTAGGCTTGGTCACTTGGGTCAGTTCTCGCAAGGCTTCCACACTTCCCAGGCAGCGCGCAAGATTGCTCAAATGCTAAAAAAGCGGGGGCGATTCTAGTCCAAGCGAACATCCTCGAGAGAAGCATCAAATCCCGTTGCACGATGTTGCACGCCGAATGAATCCGAATGGATTTCGTGGACCGGACCAAAACGAGGCTTAGTCTGGCTGACTTTGGGCCGATACTTCTGGCACTTCCTCCAGTTGGGGGCTTCCTAAGTCCGAGTGCTTTCGTTTCAAGTTCGGTGCACTGTCATCCGTGATTTTCACCAGTTCGTAGAATCGCGAGCGAACATACTTGAAGTGCACCGGAACTGTAGACAAGTCAATTGGTTCAACATGAAGTCCAAGCCGGTCGCAATCCTCTAGAAACTGCGGGTATGCTGCAACTTCAGGTTTCAAAGTGGCAGATGAGAAATACACCCTTTTCTCCAGTGACATGTACAAAGCTTTTGCATTTCCTTTCAATAATCTAGCTGCCAGCTTTGCAAATGCGTCTGCTGCAGCCGCATCATAGATCACATCTGCGGCCAAAAGCACTTCAGCTGCCCACAGGGCGGTCATCTCTGCAGGTGGACTTTCCCATCTGACCACTTCGACCTTCACATCCTGGAGATCCTGGAGATCCTTCCTTTCCGTGGAGCCGTTCGGCGCGCCGTTCGGCTCAAAGTGCGCCACAAGCTCCGAGCCATGGACTCCATCCGCGTTCACGGGATTCCGTCGCATGTTTTCACGGCAGTTCTCCACTGCTTCTGCGCTGCCATCTGTGCAGAGCACTGAAGCACCCAAGCGACTCGCCACCAATGAGCAAAGGCCAAGACCTGACGATGCCATGCAAAATGGTGCAAAAGGTTTCGCTTCAAAAAAAGTTGGCGTCGTCTTGCATCGTCAATCTACTTAACCGATGTAAGTCAGTTTCCGGTAAGAAATGATAAGAAACGGCAAATGTGAGTTCCGGACCGGCGCCAAGCTCACAAACGCGTCGCTGATGGAAAAGCCAAGGCCGGGCTAAAAGGAAGTCACACAAGACCAAAGCACCAGCCCAAAGCTGCAGACCCACGCGCTCCAAACGAGAAGACGCCAGCCGTACCAGTTCGATCCGCCAGCCCACAAGTCCTGGAGTCCGTCTAAGGAGTCAGTTTGTGTGATTCAGTGCTCCGAAATTCATGAAATTCATTGAACATGTGCAGATTTGCGCCGTCTAAATTAAATGTCGCTTAAACAAAGTATATCAAACCTTCGCATATGTCACATGCCATGGCCTGCAGTGGATACTATGAAGTCAGTGCATCGGCCATTCTAGTCGGCATTTGCTTGTGTTTGCTTGAGAGCATCTTTCCATGAAAACAAGCATGGAACACAAGGGAACTACCTGCCTGACGATGGACTTTCCTGCAATTCTTCCCGCGGCATTGCTAGGTCACCGTCTTCATCTTCGATGATTGGCGGCTGCGGCTGCAGCACACGAAGCACTGATGTCCTCCAAGATCCCTTGGATGAACCTTCACATTGAGGCACTGGAGGCGCAGCCACACCGGTGTAGTCAATGGTAAAAACATGTTGAACTATCAATGGGAACTTCGGGAACCGGTCAAAAGCATTCACTATTGATCAAGGCAAGTAGGCCAAGAGCAGAAGGCAAAAACATGCAAAAAACAAGCAAACATGGGACATGTAAGCCAGCCAGCAAGGGAGCGCGAGCCAGAGGCCAAGCAAACAAAAAGAAAGTGAGACAATGAGACGAAGATAAAATAAAGTATGTGCTACGCACGCAACCCCACCCAATTTACTAGCTCAAATACATTGAGCCAACGTCAGTCAATAGTACTATGGCAATTAGCCAAGTACTTCTGTAGGTCTGACAGCCACCCTTTCCATCCAGTGGATCATCTCCCGCAAGTCCTACAGCAACTCAGGCCGTGCCATTCAATTTGTGAAGGCGAAGGATGTGCAATACTATGTGGTGACTTATGGCCTTTTGATTTATCCACAATATTTTACAACTATATTTTTTTTTTATTTTTTTTATGTTATAATATTTTTCACATTCGTATTCTGTGCCGAGTCCGGTCGAATCCAGAAGAGTCCAGCCTTGATGATGTACAGGAAGTTCCTCCAACGACAAGCCATCTGCTTCGATGATGCCGCAGATGTCTCCACTATCTTCACTCTCGCTGTCCCGCTCGCAAGGCTCACCGGGCTCACCGGGCTCATGAAGCCCATGGCGGCCACATCCGTTTTGTTTCTGAGAGGTCATCTCAGCCCATGGCGTCAGGCTCAAACCGCTCGGAATAGCACGGCCTGCAGAGCTGCAAAGTTCTAGTTGAATCGTTGTCAGCATGCGCACTACATTTTGTTATGTGTGTGTGTTTTATTTGTTATATATATATAATATCTATTTAATATCTATATAATATCTATATAATATCTGTATTATATATGTATAATATGTGTGTGATATGTTGATTCACACCCTTAACGGTGTTTTTTCCTTCAGTCCATGTATCACCGTTTGACTACCGGACTTGGGGGGGTTCCAGAACTCCGCACTTGTTGATTCATTATGATCTTTGCAAACCAATCCACTCGGTCATGGTAGCACTGAAACTGGTCTGAGAGATGAATAGCTGCGAAGGACAAATGGCGCAAACACACACACACGCTTGCTCAGAACTATCATTGTGAAGTCTGATGTGGAATGCATCTCACGTGCAAAAACACTCCAATTATACCTGACAGGAATGGGTCGGTGAAAAGATCCGAGAAGTATTGAAAAGTTACCATCGCCATAGCCAGAGCTAGATGAAATGGGTTGGAAGCTGACCCTTCCCTTTCAACAAAGCCAAATCGTTCCCACCTTGACAGATTGCGAAAACCGTGCAACACGAGAAAATTGAAAACAAGTTGTTTGGAAACGGCATGGTTCTTGGGTTAGCCACGTCCCATTGCAGAAAATTGACATGAAAATGAAGCAGGTACGTCGATGAGCATCCTCATCGATATCACAGGCAACTGATGAGTGTCTTTGTTAGTGCCGGTCTCATCAGTGCCCCCGGCACCCCCTGCGTAATGAAGTGAAATGAGACGCAATCCACGAAAACCAGAGAATCAGCAGAGTCAAATTTCCTAAAGGAAGAATAAGCAGTGAAAAAGTGAAGTCAGCAGTTAGACGTTTTACATCTCTTCAGATGTTTCACACACACGCCCCGCTGCCGCGGGGCTTTTTTGGAAGATGCATCGTCTGAGTCGAATGCACGCTCTGATTTGGTCAGCTGGGTTCGGATCATTCGATCAAAACGCCAGAGACAAGAGTTGAATTAAATTGTGCCTAGTCACTAAGTGCAGCACTCACGGGATTTCGCGATCGAGCTCATCAGAAATGCCCGAAAGGTTTTCGTCAGGATTTGCCTGTCGGGCCAAGATGTTGGTGATGATCGACAAGTGGCTTCCAAGATGAGCTAGCTCTGAGGCTGTAAACAGCCTTAATTAAGTTGCTTTCCGACGGGTTCTCCGGCGGAATCTGGAGCTTCTCAAGGACCGAGGCATTGAACACACATGCGATCTTGTATCAGTGCTTGGTAAAGGATATGGGCCAACTGGCTGATCTGCATGGGGACAGAAGGTGCTGGGTCTCCCATGTTCCCCATGGTGGACGTGTCATCAGCCTCATCGTCTGGTTGTTCCTCATCTTCTGGCTGGTCCTAGGCATGTCATGGAGAGTGAGTTCCTCATACGGCTCAGTTGAGTGTGAAGAATATGGGATCTCCTCAATGTTGAAGTATCTGCGCCAATAGTTGGCCAAGCGTGACGCTTCTTTCCATCCATTGATTCGACCACCCGACTTGTCCTTCACATGACCCACAATTCCATGGAAGAAGAACTCTGGACGTCTCAGTCTCTCGGTGCCTTCGGCATCGATTTCTGTGGCCATGAGCTGTCTTTGTGTGTGGAGACCTTGTCCAACCTCCACCTGCTTGAAGACTTGGGTGTGAGTACCCTTTGGTTCTGGTGCATCTCACTAGTGCCCTGATGACGAGGCAGCGGCCGAAGAAGAAGGTCGCGGGCAGGTAGTACCCATTGGAAATGACAAAGAGTCCATGCGGAGGTCTCGTGGAGAGGCTACGTTGGCCGTAGACGAACCCCGCTTAGGCAGATTGAGAGCTAAAAGGCGACGAGATTAAGGGCAAAAAAGAATTAGTAAAACAAACATGTCGACGAGGCAATCAAAGCAGTGTGAGGAGTCGCAACGCTGTTTTCAACCAATGCGCGGTCATGGAAGGTAATTAGGATTAGGCAAGGCTTTGTGACAGCTCAATCGCATAATGTATGGCTGAGCTGGGCTCGTGAAATCTACAAGATTGCCAAAGAAATGAAACCTGTTTCTTGGGCTTGTGCCCAGCGAGGACGTTGTTCTAAGAGAAGGCGACTAATGATCTGAGGAGAACGTAGTGCAAAAGTGTGGCCTGTGCGGTCACTCCATCAGAGATCCATGGCATCAGCATCAATATTGACGCCCCAGGTGTTGTAAATGTACAGGCTGATATGGTACAAGAGGTCCCCAACTGATGTGGTTTGGAGTTGGCTCGGATTCAGAAGCCGAGCGTAGGTGAACAGTGCCATTTCTTCTGGTGTTCGAAGATCGGGGAGTTGTTCACAAGATGTGACGGACATAGCGTCCGAGAATTGTTCCTCCATCAATTGTTTGGTTTGGGTGAGGTCAACCAGAAGGAGGACTCGACGGATCCGGCGGAGGGCCGGTGTGTAATTCCATCGTCCAGTGCGGGTAGGGTCATGTGGGCAAGACTTGGCCCGTGGAAAATTGGACCTTTCCAGAACCCTGTGAGCAATTGAGGAAGTGGAAGATGTTCACAGGCAAAACCGCCAATTGGATCCAATTGGCTATCTATGATAATCACCATGTTTACTAGGTAGACCATTGTTGAGTTGCTTAGCGGTTGGGTACGGAGGGCAAAGAAGCGTTTTGACCAAACCATTTTGGTCCAGATTGCCACAAGCGTTTTTCACCAAGACCCAAAAGAGCAAAACGGTTCTTTCAAAATTATTGCCATGCTGACCGAGGTTTCGGAATTTCATCAGGTTTTCACCAGGTTTTCACCAGGTTTCAGAAAATCCCTGAGGTCGAGAAAAATGCCCGAACTTCACCTAAACATTCACCAGGTTTTTGTCATTTTTACCAAGTTTTAACCAAGTGTCTAAATTTCACCAGGTTTTCACCAGGTTTTGGAAATTTCGCCAGATTTTCACCAAGTTTCGGAAATTTCAGCTTTTTTGACCAACTTTCGAAATTTCACCAGGTTTCCGGATTCGGATTGCCCCACATCCGTCGGGGATCATCATCACGAGAGCGGGAACGCTCACGGACCATGGCGAATGAGATGGAGGTAGGCGTTGAGCCAGGCTGAGACGAGAAGGGAAGAAAGGATGAACAAGGCAAATCATTGACAAAAAGGGAAAAGGAAGAATTAAAATAAACAGTGCCGGTCTGAGGTCTGCTGTCCTTTTTGGTCCCGCTGACAGGGTTAGTCTTCAGCTTCCGCTTCCGGTTCGGTGCGGGGATTAAGCTCAGGCATGTTCTGTCTCAGGACAAGCCAATGTGCTTTGCAAGCTTCTGGATCTCGCTTAAGGCGCAAACCGATTGTCTTCCAGGCGGGTCTGGCCCGTGCATCACTCTTAAAAGTGACCAGTTCATGATCTTCAGCGTCCGTCCAAGGACGGGTGGTTGAGTGAAGATCGAGGGGGCACCACTGGGTTTGGTGGTGCTTCTGCCGGCACGGAGGCCGTTACTGTCCGTTCCAGTGAAGGTGATGGGCGAGGAGGAACGGCTTCTGGAGCACTTGGATTGGTAGACGCCGGGGCCATATGTCGAGTCGTCGAAGGTGAGTGGTGCCGACGGGGTTCTAAGTCAGAATCATCTGACGTTGGGCCCTCCGGAGGAAGATCACGAATGATCGGCAGAGTTGGATTGGTGGTGCATGGTGACTGGTGTAGGAATGTGTAGGAGTTGGCGTTGGATCATGTGTTCGTTGCTTTTTCTTTGGACGGGCCTCCGCTTCATGGTTTCTGGGATGGCCCGGCTCCGTTGTTTTGAAAGATCTGCGAGACTCACGTTCGAAGTCAGTTGCTGGAGTGCCGACAATAGATTCGGCCGGTAAGCGGGCAGGATTGGATGATTCCGCACGAGCCGAGGCAGAGTGTGCTGCATTGAGTGGGTGTGACTCTTCAATGGGATAAGGACCTCTGCGGATCGACAAAGGACGAAGATTGGGTTCCGGATTGAGGACCATATGGGTAGGAATTCCTCCGTGTGATGCAAGCGAAGGAATATTCGGAGAGGAAGGAAGTGGCACGAATGTATGAAGATGGCGCGACGGTAAGGTCGGCCTCATGATCCTCCCAGTCCACTGCTGGTTCAAAAAATGGGAGAAAGCCCGCAATCCTGTTCAGGTGCATGAGAGCTTGGGCAAGATGATAATGAATCTCACGGCAATGAGAAGAATCCATTGTTGTCACAGGCATCACAGGCACAGAAATATGGGAGCGAATTTGAGCCAGAAACTAGACCAGAAGGCACAAGTGGAGAGACAAAGGGAAAAGAAGAGAAAAACCGAAACACAGACCAAAAGCAAAGAACGTCACAAAACACAACCGAAGAAAAATAACAACAGCGGTCAAGTATGAAAGGCAGCGGGAGTTCAGCTTTTTTCCGCATGATGGAGGTCCAAAATTTGCGAAGAAATTTGGTTGAGTTCTTCGTTGGAAAAGCCAGCCATGGTGTAGAGCTGGATCAGTTGGTCCAAGCCTTGGCGGACCCTGTATTCTGGGAATGCGCCTTTGACTACGATGTGGCATCTGGAGCGAAAACCACTGAGGAGAACTTCGGGTGGTGATGCCGAGTATGGCGATAGGACCTGAGAGATGTTGGTGGGTCCATTGTAAATCAGCTCCAGTGGTTGTGTTTCAAGCATGAAGCCCAAAAATTCCTGGCCTGGTTCAGTCTCCAGGATGATGGGTTTACCGTAGAAGCCTTCATCTAGTAAGACCTCGTACTGTGTCAAGTCTTGGAGGCGAGCATCTCCAAAGATGAGTCGGTTGTCCACATATCGAATATGCTTGATAAACAGGTGATGGTTGGAGAGAACCTGTTTGAAGTTGATGGACCAAGTTTGCTCACTGATGGAGATCACCATGAGGCACAGTGCTGGAGACAGTGGACTTCCCATAGGACTGCCTCTACGTTGTCGGATGCAACGTTGGCCCAACGCAAAGGTTTGCATATCCAATGCCGTCTTGAGTAGGGATGGTACATCTTTGATCACAATCTTTCTGGTGACATTGAGTCGACGGAATGTGTGACCTTTGATTAGGTCTCCTGGGTTGTTGGATTTTCCCGGGTAGACCGAGACATTGTCCGCAACGTTCAGGCGGGGGCGCAAGAAATCCAGAAGCATGTACCACGCCCCAATAAATTGTGCCTGGTCAATGCTGGTGAAGAAACCGGCCAGGTCTTGGTTGATGAGGATGCGGTTTCCATCAACCGGGGCTTCTTTCAAGATGGATAAGAGAATATAAACATCTCCCGAAGCAAAGTAGTCTGGGCAGGCCACTGGAATAGCTGGAAGATCATTCATGTTGAGCATAGGCCGAAAAGGGGAGTCCACAAAGGATATGATGGGACGGCCACTTTGGAATGCTTTCTTCTTCTTGGCAAAGATGTATCCGGATGGAAGTTGGCGACCTTTGCCGGTGGCCCAAGGGTAGGACTTGCCATATTGTTTGGTCAGCTGCGAGACGAGTGTGTCGACAATTGTGGAAGGGTCTTGATTGACAGGTTCAAAGATGGAAAGGTCCGTGAAGGTAGTTTCAATTGCTTGATAGTAGAGGCATGGGCAGTAGTTTCTGAGTGACGAAGCTTGCTTGTCTTCACAATGGAAGATGGCGCCGTCGAACAAGCGTTGGCAGGTGGTGATGGGCGATTTGGTGATGTGACACGTAACCTCCTGAGTGTGTTGTTGCCAAAGGAGTTGTGCGAGGTCAAGGATATCTTGGGATGGCATGGACGGGAGACCATTCCGTTTCGTCCATTGATGTAGACCAAGTTTCAAAGTGAATTGGCAGCCCTTCTTGGAGGGAAAGACTTTGTTCAGCAAAGAGCCTTCTGCGATGACGGCAAGATCTGCAGGCAGCAGGTCATGAAGGAGTGAGCCCGCCAATACCCAGTGAGGGTCGGGTGGGTTGAGTGCAGCTTTCTTGTATTTGGACCAGCGTTGGCAGCAGCATATGGCATCAGTGCCAGTGGACCATTGAGAAATGGCATGTTTATGGTTGCAAAGTTGGTCCAACACCGCTGCGTGTTTGATGAACACCGTTTTGAAGGACGGCAAATGACAAGGGATTTGGTAAGCCAGAATTTGTAGATGCCATTTCCGAAGAAATTGTTTCAAGGTGCGTTGAAGATTTGGACTTAAAGACCAGGGAGCCCGGAGCGCTGAGGCTCGCGGTGCCGGTTTCCCTTGCCACCATTTGATGGAGGCATCGATGGCTTGAAGGGAGACGGTGCGGTAGGGCTCCTGGATGTTGTTTGCCAGACGGCGTAAGGCATATAGCACAATCTGAGGCCCCCATCGTTGGATCGGAGCATTTTGGTCTTCTCAAATCGTGCTTTTTTGTGTTTGACCCTAAGGCGTGAATTATAGTCCAAAGTTCCAACCGGTGTTGAAACTGTTCCGAGGCCAGAGGATGTCTTTGACGACCTGTGGGGTGAACTTGTGTCTGGATCGTCGCCAGAGGGTGGCAAGTCCAAACTGAGCATTGGTGTTCATCACAGGTTTCTTAAGGATGCCTTTTCGTGGATGGAAGAACTGGCATATAAATCAAAGCCAGTTCAAGACATCGATAGTCTGCTCGTTCCGT